ATACAATGGGCGGCACAAATGTGCCCAGCGCACTCGCTCCTTCAACAAAGTCATCAAGCTGCATGAGAGATTCGTGCAATTCTCGTAGCAGCGAGGACATCATCAAATTGAAGCCTATATCGGCTAGTGGTGATCCTGGCCAGGTTCCTCTTTTTGTCTGCGTGCATCCAGAGAGGTCCTGTGAATCATCACCAAGACAAAACCATGTATGTTGATGGATGTCATGCAGGAGAATGCGTAACCCTGGCGGGATGTCAGTGATCTACTTCGCACAGAGGGTGTTGAGGTTTGTGACCAAAGCATGGATGTCGAACTCATTTTCATCCAAGATGGTCTGCAAAACATCATGTAGAAGTTGATTGGAGGTTGAAAAAATCAATTCACGCAGCATGTGATGGAAGGCGGCCTTCAAGTCGAGGAAAATGGTAGCACTAGTGAGGTGCTTCTGCTGGGCCACCTGTGCGTGAAGTCTGACAGTTTGCACTCCTGTTACCGTCTGTTGTGATGGTAAACCTCCAAGCTGGCCGATGGTCTTGCGAGACTTCAGGGTCGGGAGAAGCCTGCCTCTGGCCCATGCGTGCATCACCTTCGCAAAAGTGTTGGACAAGAGGATACCTCTGTACCCATCAGCAGCATCATGGTCTCCTCTTCCCTTGTAGAGCGCTGTAGTCAAAGGGCTCCATGCCATAGACCAACGCTTTGCACGCTACACTGTGAATGTGGGGCGCGACAGATACTGCTCCATGTCTGCACAGATCAGGTGGGATCATATCTGGTCCTGCAGCTTTTCGTGGTCTTTGTGGCAGGCAGAGATTCTCGATCTCGACAAGCGTTGGCAGCTCACAAAGGTGGAGGTGTCGGAGTCGCGGTTGTTCTTGTTGTTCTTGCTGGTTGCGTAGATAGCATTGAGCCCGCAGGGCAGCGGAGTCGATTTGACTTCCAGCCTCCAGAGCCTCAAAATGACTTTGGAGAGCATCGTCGATGTCACGCTTGACTTGCTGTGTTTTTGCCCTGTTTTTGGGTAGTAGAGCTCGTAGGCGTTGCCAAAGCCCATTCATGCCCTCAACCGTGTAAAGCTTGGTGGTATCAGCAGCAATGGCCTGGTAGTAGTCACTGTCCTCTTGACGAATTGCTTTCTGGGCTGCGACAGCAGCTTGCATCAGGTCATGCTGCGTTCGGGCAAAGGCATGATCATGTAGGCGACACCCGTAGTGGAGATGTTGTGGGATCGCCACGTAGTCAATTCGAGCCTCATGCCCATTGGGAAATGTGAAAGTGGAGGCATCATCACCATGGTGGGTAGCAGCAAAAGTGGAGGGTACATAGAGCTCGTGCTGCAACAACCACTCGTGGAAAACTTGTCCCGCTTGATTCTCTGGTACAGGTTGGAAATTTCCAACCGAGTCAGTGGGGAATTCAGCAAGATGTGCATTCGCATCTCCACAAAAGAAAATGGGCAGGCCAGCGAGCTTCTTTTGCACTATGGATTTGAGGTTGGTCCAAAAGCTGATTGCTTCATGAACTTCATGCCTGGGTCGTCCAGAATGAGGTGCTCGACCAGTGATGACACCAAGGGTCCATCCTTTGATTTTGAGTTTGACAATCATGAAATTCGGGGCAGAGGCAACAACTCGAATGTGTTGCTTGTCAATGACATTGCCCTCGTCATCAACTGGTAGAAGCTTGGAAATCCAAAGCTGAACTCCATCTTGACCTCGAGGCTCAGCTGCATGCCCATAGATGTGGTAGTACTCGTTGTTCAGGCAAACGAGATGCTTGTGTCTTGTTTCCTGGATTCCCCCGATGGTGCATTTCGCAATATGAAATTGCTGCAGCAAAAGAATGTGGCGCGTGACTGATGTGGTCTTGGAGCTTTGATCCAAAGTCATCACATTGGCTGTGGCAAGTACGAGCTTCACTTCACAGGTGAGTGTGGTTTGCGCACTGCTGTGTGGTGCCGTTTGTTCACATGATGGTACAGGAGGCTGAGGAACAATGCAAATCATGTTGCCATTGTGTCATCGTGGTACTCGTGGGTCTCCCCACTCCATGAGCTCCTTATACCAAATCCACTGGAGTGCACAAAGTTTGCCCTCGTCGTTGGCCCAGGCTTCCCAAAGTTCGCTGCTTTGCGCTTGCTGTGGATGCTCGGCAGCAAATTTGGCAAGGCTATCAGCACATTCATTCCAGGGGTGGCCAGAATGTGCTTTGATATGGTTCCACATGATTTGGTCATGGCCATGGCGTGTTTGGAGTATTTGCGCAAGGCTTCTCATGATGATCCTCCATGAAAGTGCATGAACAGTTCTCCATTGACCAGCTGCCATGTAGCCAGAGACCGTCGCATCAAAGTTGAAAGAGAAGGCTAAAGGCTCTCCTGGGTAGTCATGCCAGTGTTGATGGCTAAGATGGACAGCCCAAAGTAGCGCCCAAATCAGAGCTCCATGCTCTCCGTAGAGTGATGATGTAGCAGTGGAGATGTTGCAGTAGAGACATCCCCCGAAATGCCATCCCTCACTGGTTTCGATGAGCATGACAATGCCAGATCCAACATGTCCATCCAATGTTTTGGAACCATCAGTGAAGAAGTGAAAGGCACGTGGAGGTACCTCAGGCATGATGGTGAGCTCCTCAAAAGCAACTTGAGTAACTTCTGGGGCTTGTAGGTCATGAGGCCACACTTGATACACAAGGTGACCAAAATTGGTGAGTTCAGTTGCCATGTGAATGACTTGTGAAAAGTCAACCTGAACCGTCTGTGGAGGTTCAACACATTGGGCAAGGCTGATTTGATGTGCAGGCCGTTGGGTGTGAGCCACCTGCCCAACTGTTTGGCGCCTGCACCTGTTCGAGGATAAGGAGGCAGCATGAGTTTGAAGGAGACTGGTTGAATCATCATCCGTATCGTCCCACTCCCAATTGAAGGGTTGCGCAGGAGTGATGATCAGCATAAAAACCTGTCCATGCCTGCAACGATATGGTGCTGCATCAGAGAACTGCCAACCTCGTTGCCATGTAGTACATGTCGTGTGAGGATTGAGAGGAGGACAGTCATTTTCGCGATGGACGGCTTGTAGAAGTTCGGTTTGGCCAGTGATACTTGGTAGTATTGCAGCTGTGGTATAAGGCTGCCGAATGGCCGAGGTGTCATCATAGGTGGTGACAAGGGTGGCACGTTCCACTGGGCAAAGAAGCTGATGCACAATGATGTGTAGTCGAGACAAATCAAAATCACGTTCAGGAGAATCCCAAACAATGGCAAAGTCAACCTCGACTTGTGGCTCGAGTAAATCCTGCCATGTGCGCGTCAAATGCATTTCCCAATTGTGGAAGTCGTCACCAAGGATGACTTGCCTCATCTCATCATTGGTGCGGATACGGTCCGAATGCAGACACCAGGTTGCAACCTGCAGGAGTCGCTCCATGTTGGCCGGTCCAACTCTCGCATGAACATCCCAATGTGGAAAAAGGGCTCTGATGAACTCAGACTGGTCTTGCAGAATGGGTGTAGCCTCAAACTCAAGTTGGTTGACCTGTGTGCTGGTGGTCAGCCACTGTGGTGTAACAACATGTTCATCAACAAAATGATTCGTGACGACTGGTGGGTGAATGTTGAACATGAGGTTGTTGCCAGCTCTAAATGGCACCTCCTCATTGCTATGGAAAAGACGATCCAAAACTTGTAGTTCACAAAGCCCATCAATACAGATCCTCCCAAGCTGACAAAGATCACGTACATGGAAGACATCCGTTGGGCTATCTAATGCGCAACTGCATGATTGATGCCGGTACGTCGGTCAGTCAAAAATTTGATGGTGATCAGTGCAGGCTTCAGTGGCTGCTGGATTCGTTGGTAGAGGATGAGATGGCCAATCGTCCATTCCGTGTCATGACTTGGAGGTTGTGGTTGCACAAAAACCAGTTCCAACTCCTGCGTCATGTCAATCTTGTCCCTCCAGAGGTCAACCAAATCTGTCTTCCAATAATGGTGATGTTGGTCAAGCCGAAAAACTCTGCTTTGCTTGTTGACGGATTCAAATGGTCCTTGCAGAAACCATGTAGTGAGAAAGGCAATGGGTCCCTCTTCTTCACATGCTATTGCAGCTTGTTCCGCAAAAGCTTGATGTAGCGAACTAAACCATGAAGGCCAAGGTCGATCATGTTCATCTTGTTGAGGTGGCTGATATGCTCCAGGAGCACTGGCCACAAATTGTGGGTCATCGCATTCTCCAAACGTACGAATGGTAACTGTAGCAGGGTCATTGATCCATGAGATCTTTGGCGCGAAAGCTGAAGACATTACAGAAGCGCTGTACTGCAGCAATGCGGCTTCATCAGTAGGTCGTTGTGCAGCTTCAACATCTGTAAAAAGTTCATCAGGATCAGGTTGACGTTGAAGTCGTTGGACAATTTGTCCTCGATTGAGACCATGCTGGCACGCCCGAACCGCATAATAAGTTGAAATGCTGGACGGCTCAAATGGCGGTACCGCTATGCGTATGTAGTCGCCATGATTCAGGTCCAGGTTGGCCCTTGATTGAGCATTGATGAGAGTCCCATGATGCCACAGCAAACAGCGATTTCTCATCGTTGAACCGTATTGTAGAACGCCAGCAATACGAAGAATCAACGATCGATGTATGGGTGTGGGCAGCAGGGTGGTGTATCCGCATAATATATATATATATATATGTGTGTGTGTGTTGTAGCGGAATTTCCTGAAACCTATTCAAGTTGGTCTTGTTTTTACAAACAATGGAGATTAAACCGTTGAAGCGGCTTAGACTCAAGATGTTTGTGGAAGCCTCGGGGATTGCATCTCTTGACCCTGTCTCCGTTTGCTCCGTTAGGTATTTTGAGGACTAAGACATACTAAGACATACTAACAATGCATTCAAAAAATTTGTTCTGCATCCAAAAAGGACCACCATGGACCACCCTTCCGGCCCTTCCCACACCTTCCGAGCTGTGCCTCTGTGGCCCCTTGAGCCCGAGCTGAGGCTCGTCTGTGCCATCGTTGTGATGTGCTCTGCTGTGGCTGTTGCACCTTGCTGCGGAGCTGCGGAGCTGGGGAATGGCTGGTGTGTTCACTGGATCCGATATCCATTAGAATCCATTGGAATCCATCCAGATTCATTGGATAATCCATGATAATCCGATTATCCTGTGATGTTGGATGGTTTGATGGTTTCGCACATGTGTGACCTTTTGTTCACAGAGCAGGAGAAACATATTAAATCATATTAAGATATAGTTTTTATTAAGATATATTAAGTAATGTTCTGGCCACTGCAGTATTCAATACGGATCTGTCGCTACACAAAGACCACAGCATGATATCTATATGCATATGTTATATTGTGATATATTGTGTTATATAGTTACTATGTCTACGAATGCCAAAGGTCTCAACGACAAGAATTGTGTACATGCTCACATCCTTGGTTTATCTACCTACATCAGCCGTACTTGATACCTAGACTCTGCGGTCCTGTCCGTGTTTCTGTGGTTTCACCCAGCTTCGACAAGTGCGTCCCCAGGAGCCAGAGCTAGTTTCATTCCAACATATGTTCAAATTGCTACATTTCAAGGACGACAGCACACTGCGTTCCCTCTAACTCTAACAATATCATCTCATACAACCCATACTTCCGACCTACACCTCACATCCACAGGAGGAAGACTGTTCCATTGAGGGTGCAACGATGTACCTGGTACATACACATGAGCACAATCGCTACAATAGCCACTCTACGAAAGCTATTATGTCGAAGTTGCAGTATACACACATGGGCGGCACAGGGCAACCAAAAGCTCCACCTGCATCCCAGCAAAAGGGTCCTGGCCCATCGGCGTAAGGCGTTGGTCTTCGAATTTTTCGGACAGGACAGTAGGGCAGCGGCGGATACGCACTGGATAGCACAATCTCCTGGTGAAACTGGTCCTCTTCCAGGGAGTTTTGCAAATGATGTCAAGAAAAAAAAAGTCGCAGATTTCACATGTTCAAACCTAGGGTCTGAAAACTTGGAGATTCACAGGCCGGAATCTTTGAGATCCACCCTGTTTGAATCATGGAGTCTTTATTTTGGCCACCAGAACCCATCAGAACCCATCAGGAGGCAAAGGATTCGAGCATTTTGCGTGTGCTTGAAAGTTGCAGTGACGGTTTGGGCGCAAAGCTTTTGGCCCTGTGGCAGCATTTGGCGAACTTCGCGAGCTGTGGTGTCTGAACAATGTCCTAACATCCAATGCACAAGCAGATGCTACAAGAATCCACAACACATCAATCGAAGATAAACATGAAAGCCCTAAACACTTTTTGGCAAAGTTGCTGGGATCTCCCCTTGTTCCAATTGGTTCCAACTGCTGGAATGTTGTCGCCCTGTTCATTTTCAAGTGTGGAATGCTTGGCAGTTGCTATGGCAATGTGTTCAAGGTGGGACAAGCCAAGCCCTGGAGGGCAAGGCATACTGGCCATCTCCATGCATCTCCATATTGGGATGTTGTTACAGCATTGTTGCATCGAGAGCCAGAAAGATACAGAGGAAGTTGAGGCAGTTGAGGCAGTTGGGTGGAACTCAGGTCTCAAAATGTCTCAAGTGTTCAATTTCCCTTCCCTCGCAAACTAATTTGGCTAGGTTTTCGCGCACATTTGCGAACCGAACGGAAGCCAAAGTACAGCAAACACATCGCAGATGGCCAGCTTACTTTTTGGTTTGAGACCACGTCAGGACACCTGAAAAACTACATATGCTCATTGCCACTGCAAGGCTTCCAGTAGCTGCAAACGATTTAGAACATCAGAGACATCAGAAACCATTAAAGATAAAGAAACACATCCAGCGAGTGCTGTTCCCGGCTTAGGTAATAGCACATGGCCTATCAGATAAGGAGCCTGGAGCCAAACCTGATGCACACAGATTACCCAATTTTTCTTCGCTGATGGCTAGGATCTTTGTACAAGGTCAAGCGCTCATTGCCCTTCCTGGAAGCCTCGAAAAGGTAGGGGTACCTCATACAACATGAATTGAATTATTAAATACTGTACAACTTACTTGTACCAGCCTTGCCATTCCATGTTGTCACGGCCAATTGAATTTTGATATTCAACTGCATCTGCAAGTTCTTGTTCTTCGAAATGCAGGGAGCATAATGTCCATGACCCTTAATGATGCCTTTTGTTCGCGTCTTCGAGGAGCTGAAGTTGCAACAGGCACTGGACACAATGAACAGCCACGACGTCACTGGACGAATTGAGTCCTGCCGGGCTGTGTGACGGCAGCCTCATCCTAGGCATGTAGCACATAGCGTGACCTCAAGATTTGCATAGTCCGTATCGCCAACAGTTTAGTTTGCCAAGGACTGTGTAGGGTATATTGAGATTACCTAACCCAAACAATGCAGCGTGCATTCTAGGCCCTAGTCGAACATGTGGTCAATGTGGTCAGCAACCTGCACCTCAGCAGTTGTTCTCCACATCTAAGATGCATGGCCCATACCCCCACAAAGTCGCGCGTTTGAAGCGTTCTATTTTGTTCCCATGTTCTACCCAAGGTCGCATGAACCAAAGATGGCAGTGAGTATAACCGCTCGAAAAGGCAAAAATCGGCTTTGAAATCATTTGAAAAAAAGTCACATAATTTGTACCACGAGCTTAAGCCACTCCAGCCACTCCGGCCACTCCAGCCACTGCCATTTGGAATTGAGCGCACTGAGTTGAGCCACCTCGAGACCTGCCTTGACTTGATCGGAAGTGAGTTGCTGTTGCTCGGCATGTGACCCTGTGACCCGCCATGATCTGGTTTAGAAGTCACCATGTAATCTGAAAAAATCGATGTCGTTCATGGCATGCCAAATACACCAGCGATCTTTTTGGACTTCATATTGCTGACGAATTTGACCAAAACCGCGCAAGCCTGAATCAAATCTAGTCATGTTCTACATCCAAGTGTTGCAATATTTGTTTAATCCCGGCGTATTTCAAGTCACAGATCATCTGGAACGCTGACGGTTTTCACTGCGATATCCCCAGAACCCTCCAGGGGGGCAGGAGATATCGGATCCCTTCAAACTGGACAACCAACCCTGCCTGATTCAACTGCTTGGTCACCAATCTCTCCTGCACTTTTTGGGAGCTGGGTCCATGTGGTGGGGGTCTGAGAGCAGTGTCTTGTTTGTATCTCGTTGCATGCTGCGAGTCTCTAATTGCAGCTGCAAAGCGTGGCATTGGCGCGGAGTTGTGAAGATGTGGAATGTCGCATTCTTGCCGTGCCTATGTCGAAAGCTGCAAAGCATGACATTTTTGAAGAGGTTTGAAGATTTGAAATCTGTCGCAAAGTGTGGATGGGGTCTGAACTGAATAGATTGTGGAATATGAAGGGTGGAGTGCGGAGTGTGAAGTTTAGAGTGTGAAGGAAAAAGTATGGAGCATAGAGTGTGGAGTTCGAAGTGCACAGTGTCGTTTGTAGATTGTGGAGTGTGAAGTGTAGCGTGTGGAATGTGGAGCGTGAAGTGTGGAGTGTGAAGCGTAGAATGCAGGGTGCAGAGTGTGAAGTGTTAAGTGCGGTGTGGGGAGTGTGAAGTCTATAGTGTGATGTGTGGAGTGTGGAGTGTGGAGTGCGTGTCAGTGTAGCGTGTGGAGTGTAGACTTTGGAGTGTGAAGTGTAGAATGTGTGGAATGTGTGGAATGTGTGGAATGTGTGGAATGTGTGGAATGTGTGGAATGTGTGGAATGTGTGAAGTGGAGAGTGAAGTGGAGAGTGAAGTGGAGAGTGAAGTGGAGCGTGCGGAGTGTAGAGCAGGAAGTGTGAAGTGTCGATCGTGGAGAGTGTGTAGTGTGAAGTCTAGTGTATAGGGTGGGAGTTTAGAGTGTGAAGTGTCAAGTGTGAAGTGTAGGGTGCAGAGTGTGGGCATGGTGTTTGGTTTCCATCGAGCGTGGAGTGTAAAGTGTAGAATGTGATGTATTGAGCGATTAGAGTGTGGGCTGTAGAGCCTGGAGTGTGTCCTGTTGAGCATGGCCCGCAGAGTGCAGAGTGTGAAGCTCAGGCTGCAGGGTGTGAAGTGTAAAACGTAAAATGTGATGTGTACAGTGTAGATTGTGGAGTGTCGAAGTTGAAAACGTACAGTGTGAAGTGTTAGCGTATAGTCGAAGGAAGTTTAGAAGTCAAACTTCCCACAATATGGACAGATGAAAAGCAGAGATGGGAAGAGTCAGAGAAGAGAAAGAGAAGAAGAAAGAAGATCCAGGTGCGCGAAAAGGTAGGAAAGTCGCGAAACACAGTGTTTTGCCAATGATTTGTGTCGAAAAGTAGGCTCGCTAAAGCGGCAGGTGCGGAGCCAGCCAGCCGGCCAGATGAAAGATGAAAAAACGCACCATGTTCGGACCACTTTGGAAGCTGCGATGTCGAAAAAGTGCACGCCGTTGTGGCGCGAAGCACATTTCGAAGTCAAAATATACAAAACACCTCAGCTTCGGAGCACTTTTAGAAGTTGCAATGTCGAAAAAGTGCACACCGCTGTGGCGCGAAGCGCATTTCCAAGTCAAAAGTGTAAAAAACTGACGGTTCGGAGCACTTTTGAACGTTCAGATGGTAGGCGCAGGGGATTGTGCACCTTGCAAAACGTGAGGGTTTTGTGGCATTTCCAAAAACGATGGCAGGCGTGGGACATTTGAAGAGGATCTGGAAAGATGCATTTCGCGTGGCAGGCGCAGTACAAGAGACACATGAGTTAGATGTGTTAGGAGATCAGGGCGGATTTCCTGAGAGGGGTTGCATTTTGGAGCATCAGATCGTCAGGTTTGCTAAGATGATCTTGCCTGACAGGTGCAGCACTTCATATGACCTGGCCTCACTTTCTCGTAGTAGTCGCAATACTTTAGAGATATGGACTGGAAAAATCGCAAAACGCATTGGCACGAGGCCGTCAGCTCCGCACTCAATTTTCCATTATTGAAGGAAGTCTCACAGAATTGCTTCGTTTTTGATGTTGCCAACTTCAAAAATTGAGTTGATGTTGCCAACTTCAAAAATTGAGGAAGTCTCGCAGAATTGCTTCGTTTTTGACGTTATCAAGTTCAAAAGTTGAGGAAGTCTCGCAGAATTTCTTCGTTTTTGGCGTTGTCAAGTTCAAAAACTAAGGAAGTCTCGCAGAATAGCTTCGTTTTCAAGCTTGCAGATAGACAGATAGACAACTACGATTACAACTACCACTAAAAATGCACTACACTACAACTACAAATACAAATATACTATGCTACATTACCCAACACTAATTGCACTACACTACACTAATTAAATCTAATTACGCTACACTACACTGATTACACCAACTACAACTACAACTACTACTACACAACAACAACAACAACAACTACTACTACTACTACTACTACTACTACTAGTGCTACTGCTACTGCTACTGCTACTACTACTACTACTACTACTACTGCTACTACTACTACTACTACCACCACCACTACCGCGGCTACAACTACTTTTACAACTACACTACATTGCGCTACACAACACTACATCCAGCAGTTGTGGTGAGGTGACCACTGCAACCATTGCAACCACTCCAAACACACGACTCCAACCACCTGTCGATCCATCAGTGGGTTCGCTATTCACAACAACTCACCTCTCCTACAGGTTTCTTATTTTTGAAACTTCCGCCACCGCCTTGCGCGGTACTACCGGTATAATTAGTGTTTGATTGCGTGGTTTCAAGCTGGGGATTGTCAAGGGTAATGGGGGGGGTATAGAATGGAGACTGCAGAGTGTAAACCGCCAAGTACAGTATGGCTTGCATTTGTTTTTTGGGTCTACCGTTCATGCGTTCATTGGAAAAATGCATTTGGGTTCGTGGGTTTTATCAGGTTTCTCGGTTGATCTTCAGGTAATGTCATGGTGTGTCCCAATGTTGGGGCCCCTGCCAAAACTGCACCCACCAGGAATGCACGACCAGCAAATGAAGTTCTCCAATCCCATGTTATGAGATGAGAAACCACTTACCTGAAGGTTGTTGAGTGCCCCGGTAGGTCCTTATAGCTCCGTGTCTCCTGTGCAAGGTCGGATACTGGCATGAAAAGGGGCGGAATGCGACTGCATTCCAGCAGCTTGAGCAGGATTGAGATCAGCCAAGTGGCTTGGCTTTGCAATGGCTCAATTGAGCACCAATCCATTTAGGCGGCGGGAAGAATCAAGGAATCACAACGGAACGAGTGGAGCATTGTTTCCTTCCCTCTTTCCTGACAGTGGCGGAAGTACTCCCATGGCTTTGACATGCCAGCATGTGGTTAGGTAAAAGTGATAGAAAGCAGGTAGGTTTCATTGGAGTCCTGAGTTCTGAGACAAAGTTAGCACCTTCCCATCCATCATTCTTTTGGAAGAAGAAGAAACTTACCTGGTATCCCCACGGCCTTCCACCCCTACGATTTCCACAGTTGCAGATTGTTGTCACTTGGATACATCGATGAGTGCCAGCGCATGTGCCAGATGGGTATACGTCAGTCTAGGTGACAGTGTCTCAAAGGTTGTTGTCTCAAGTTGTCACCATGAAAGTTGCCACCAGATACCCCGGATCTTGCTGGTGAGGTCGCCACTAAGCTTCCAGCAGAAATCGTGACAGCTGGCCCCTCTGACCGTCATGACCCAGTTGATTCAAACCAGGACCGCCAGAAGGTTAGGTCTGGCTGGAGTGATGACGTGATCAGGTCGCCCCCAAAAGCTCCAGAAGCACTGAAGCCAAATGCGAGAGATATCTGTACCATCAAAAGATGGATTGGTCCATGAAGTTAGGGATTTATATGCCCATTACCAGGATTTCCAGTATGAGATGGATGACCATAGACTATATGACGTCATATACGATCTCACGACCGTGGCACATTCAGTGCAGACGACTTTCACATGTCATGTTTCTTTTTCTTGTTGCCAACAAGCTTCTCTCCATCTCGCTTTGGGGTTTGGTGTGTGGGTGTGTGACTCATGATCAGTTCGGAATAGAATTGACCGTTTGAACCGTTTGAACAGTGTGGTTTTGGTTCCTGGTGGTTTTTTTCAGGTCAGCAATAATCTTAATTTTGCCAGAGAAACCAACCTGACCAACCTGTATGAAGTCTCATGAGGTTCGGCTGCAGGTAACCCCCAGGTATCACTGTGAGTTGCTCGTTGCTCGATTGTTTCAACTTGCTGTGCTTAGGAATGTGGCGTAATTTTATTCATTCAAGATAGTCTCTTTGCTTGACGGCCGGATCCCAGAAAAGCAGAGTGTGACCCAATCTCAGGGACCAGGATTCACTCGCAAGGCAGGCGAGCCCCATTGATTTACAGCAATTGCAACTAAAGATTGGATCCTAAATCTAGGTAGTGAATCAACAGGGTACCCACAATCCACCCATTGCCATGGAAGGATATTGCTCCAGGAACGCTGAAACTAGAGGCTCGGGTGGGTCGCTGACAATGCAGGATCCAGTTGTAGAGGTTTCCGACAGCCAAGGGGCTTCTTCGATCATGCGCCCTCCATGACACAAAATTCCGAATTCAACTGATGACGATGAAGTGGTTTGCCAAAGACAAAACTTCAAATGTTTCTTGCAGCGCACTTCTGGCTGAGTATGTTTCAAAGTCCCGATGGCAACTATGTAAGTTTGGCACAGAATGGATGTGATTTCCACCTACATGCAGGATATCCTGACGGGTGTGGACAATTCCGAACCGATTGTGTCTTGGCAACGTGTGCAAGAGTCAGCTTGCCACCAGTGCCTTGCCGCTATCCCCTGAAGGTTTTATTGAGATTGAGGTGGTTCAGGATTGCAATTCTTCATGTTGAATGAAAGATGTTTTTTGAGGAAAGGGATAATTGTTCAGTTTCACTTTCGTCCCAAAGGCTACCAGCATGGTTTCCTGTTTGGATTCTGACTTTGAGACCGATAGCTATGTGTATAAAATCATACATGACACGCCCGTTGCATGCAATGAAGGCTTCCCTCGAAATTGCCGTCATTATGAAGTTAAAGTTGGCTCGCTAATGGGAAAACTATAGATGAGGAAATCTTTTTTTAAAAAATGTTATGAAGGTCGCAAGGGGCTTCGCACTTATCACAGATGAGAATCGAAAAAAAGATGAATGCTGTCATCCGCTGCGTTTTTTCACATAAAAGTCAATTCCCTGTCCGTGTCTGTGAAAACAGTTTCGGGACCCTTTGACTAGCCGTGCATGAGTTTGACCTGAGCCAGGACCTCAAAGTTCTGATAAGGGCAGACTTGTAACTGTTAAACAGCTGCAGGGCTCCTGGCTGGCTGAGATTCAGAATCAAGATCCGATCTGTCCAGCGACTCATGCTTCAGGCAACGGGGTTCAGAACCTCACCTGATCAACCAAATAGTTTCATTTGTATCTTTTTGTATCTTATCAAAAATGTATTTTGACCGCTGATGCTGACTGAAAGGAGGTGAGGAGAGCAGCCCTGTGCCTTATAATCATTGTTCAAATTGTTCATGTTGATTTTCAACAATGTGCTGAAGGAAGCATGAGGTTTTTTATCTGTCTACTTGTTGCGAAGGAAATTCTCTTCGCTTGTTGCGAAGGAAATTTGGTACTGTACCGGCAGAATTGCGTTCCGCTACGACAAAGGGAATTTATGAACAATAAATCAGCAATCCAAAGAGCAGACAAATATCAAAATTGGGAAAGAAATAGAGAAAGTTTCTTTGACAGTCGCATAGACAGTTAGGACGAGTTGTTTTTTGAGGTTGTTGCTGTTGGGGCTTTTAGGCTCAAAAGGGAATGCCCGGAACTTGCAATAAGTGTAAGTTCGGAAAGCCCACCGAATCTGATTCGTGGGTGAAGAGTCTCTGAAAGAAAAGTATATGGGTGAAAAGTATGTACAAGAAGAGTTTCTGGGTGAAAAGTTTGTGCAAGAAGAGTTTCTGGGTGAAGAGTCTTTGGGTGAAAAGTATATGAGTGAAAAGTATGTGCAAGAAGAGTTTCTGGGTGAAGAGTCTATGGCTGAAAAGTATATTGGTGAATAGTATGTGCAAGAAGAGTTTCTGGGTGAAGAGTCTCTGGGTTAAAGTATATGGGTGGCAAATATGTGCAAGAAGAGTTTCTGGGTGAAGAGTCTCTGGGTGAAAAGTATACGGGTGAAAAGTATGTGCAAGAAGAGTTTCTGGGTGAAGAGTTATGGGTGAAAAGTATACGGGTGAAAAGTATGTGCGAGAATAATTTCTGGGTGAAGAGTCTGTGGGTTAAAAGTATATTGGTGAAAACTATGTGCAAGAAGAGTTCTTGGGTGAAGAGTTTCTGGGTGAAAAGTATATAGATGAAAAGTCTGTGCAAGAAGAGTTTCTGGGTGAAGAGTCTATGGGTGAAAAGTATATTGGTGAAAAGTATGAGAGTTTCTGGGTGAAGAGTCTCTGGGTTAAAAATATATGGGTGAAAAGTATGTGCAAGAAGAGTTTCTGGGTGAAGAGTCTCTGGGTGAAAAGTATATGGGTGAAAAGTATGTGCAAGAAGAGTTTCTGGGTGAAGAGTCCCTGGGTGAAAATTCATGGGTGAAAAGCATGTGCAAGAAGGATTTCTAGGTGAAAAGTATGTGCAAGAAGAGTTTCTGGGTGAAGCGTCTTTGGGTGAAAAATATATGGGTGAAAAGTATGTGTAAGAAGAGTTTCTGGGTGAAAAGTCTCTGGATGAAAAAATATGGGTGAAAAGTATGTGCAAGAAGAGTCTCTGGGTCAAAAGTGTATTGGTGAAAAGTATGTGCAAGAAGAGTTTCTGGGTGAAGAATCTCTGGGTGAAAAGTATATGGGTGAAAAGTATGTCCAAGAAAGGTTTCTTGGTGAAGAGTCTTTGGGTGAAAAAAAAATCTATGCAAAAAAGAGTCTCTGGGTGAAGAGTCTTTAGTTGAAGAGTTTTTGGGTGAAAAGTATATGGGTGAAAAGTATGTGCAAGAAGAGTTTCTGGGTGAAGAGTCTGTGGGTGAAAAGTATATGGGTGAAAAGTATGTGCAAGAAGAGTTTCTGGGTGAAGAGTCTGTGGGTAAAAAGTATATGAGTGAAAAGTATGTGCAAGAAGGGTTTCTGGGTGAAGAGTCTCTGGGTGAAAAATCTGTGCAAAAAGAGTTTCTGGGTGAAGAGTCTCTCGGTGAAAAGTATATGGGTGAAAAGTATGTGCAAGAAGAGCTTCTGGGTGAAGAGTCTCTGGGTGAAAAGTATGTGCAAGAAGAGTTTCTGGGTGAAGAGTCTGTGGAAAAAGTTCAGGGGTGAAAAGTATGTGCAAGAAGAGTTTCTGGGTGAAGAGTCTCTGGGTGAAAAGTATATGGGTAAAAAGTATGTGTAAGAAGAGTTTCTGGGTGAAGAGTCTGTGGGTGAAAATTATGTACAAGAAGAGTTTCTGGATGAAGAGTCTCTGGATGAAAAGTATATGGGTGAAAAGTATATGGGTGAAAAGTATGTGGGTGAAAAGTATGTGGAAGAAGGGTTTCTGGGTGAAGAGTCTGTGGATGAAAAGTATATGGGTGAAAAGTATGTGCAAGACGAGTTTCTGGGTGAAGAGTCTCTGGGTGAAAAGTATATGGGTGAAAAGTATGTGCAAGAAGAGTTTCTGGGTGAAGAGTCTCTGGGTGAAAAGTATATGAGTGAAAAGTATGTGCAAGAAGAGTTTCTGGGTGAAGAGTCTATGGCTGAAAAGTATATGGGTGAAAAGTATGTGCAAGAAGAGTTTCTGGGTGAAGAGTCTCTGGGTTAAAGTATATGGGTGAAAAGTATGTGCAAGAAGAGTTTCTGGGTGAAGAGTCTCTGGGTGAAAAGTATATGGGTGAAAATATGTGCAAGAAGAGTTTCTGCGTGAAGAGCTTTTGGGTGAAAAGTATATAGATGAAAAGTCTGTGCAAGAAGAGTTTCTGGGTGAAGAGTCTCTGGGTGAAAAGTATATGGGTGAAAAAATATATGCAAGAAGAGTTTCTGGGTGAAGAGTCTCTGGGTGAAAAGTATATTGGTGAAAAGTATGAGAGTTTCTGGGTGAAGAGTCTCTGGGTTAAAAATATATAGGTCAAAAGTATGTGCAAGAAGAGTTTCTGGGTGAAGAGTCTATGGGTGAAAAGTATATTGGTGAAAAGTATGTGCAAGACGAGTTTCTGGGTGAAGAGTCTCTGGGTTAAAAATATATGGGTGAAAAGTATGTGCAAGAAGAGTTTCTGGGTGAAGAGTCTCTGGGTGAAAAATCTGTGTAAAAAGAGTTTCTGGGTGAAGAGTCTCTGGGTGAAAAGTATATGGGTGAAAAGTATGTGCAAGAAGAGCTTCTGGGTGAAAAGTATGTGCAAGAAGAGTGTTTGGGTGAAGAATCTGTGGAAAAAGTTCAGGGGTGAAAAGTATGTGCAAGAAGAGTTTCTGGGTGAAGAGTCTCTGGGTGAAAAGTATATGGGTGAAAAGTATGTGTAAGAAGAATTTCTTGGTGAAGAGTCTTTGGGTGAAAATTATGTACAAGAAGAGTTTCTGGATGAAGAATCTTTGGATGAAAAGTATATGGGTGAAAAGTATATTGGTGAAAAGTATGTGTAAGAAGGGTTTCTGGGTGAAGAGTCTGTGGATGAAAAGTATATGGGTGAAAAGTATGTGCATGAAGAGTTTTTGGGTGAAGAGTCTCTGGGTGAAAAGTATATTGGTGAGAAGTATGTGCAAGAAAAATTTCTGGGAGAAGAATCTCTGGGTGAAAAGTATATGGGTGAAAAGTATGTGCGAGAAGAGTTTCTGGGTGAAGAATCTCTGGGTGAAAAATCTGTGCAAGAAGAGTCTCTGGGTGAAAAATATATAGGTGAAAAATATGTGCAAGACGAGTTTCTGGGTGAAGAGTTTTTGGGTGAAAAGTATGTGCAAGAACAGTTTTTGGGTGAAGAGTCTCTGGGTGAAAAATATATGGGTGAAATGTCTGTACAAGAAGAGTTTTTGGGTGAAGAGTCTCTGGGTGAAAAGTATATGGGTGAAAAAATATATGCAAGAAGAGTTTCTGGGTGAAGAGTCTATGGGTGAAAAGTATATTGGTGAAAAGTATGAGAGTTTCTGGGTGAAGAGTCTCTGGGTTAAAAATAAATGGGTGAAAAGTATGTGCAAGAAGAGTTTCTGGGTGAAGAGTCTCTGGGTGAAAAGTATATGGGTGAAAAGTATGTGCAAGAAGAGTTTCTGGGTGAAGAGTCTCTGGGTGAAAAGTATATGGGTGAAAAGCATGTGCAAGAAGGATTTCTAGGTGAAAAGTATGTGCAAGAAGAGTTTCTGGGTGAAGAGTCTCTGGGTGAAAAATATATGGGTGAAAAGTATGTGTAAGAAGAGTTTCTGGGTGAAAAGTCTCTGGATGAAAAAATATGGGTGAAAAGTATGTGCAAGAAGAGTTTCTGGGTGAAGAGTCTCTGGGTCAAAAGTGTATTGGTGAAAAGTATGTGCAAGAAGAGTTTCTGGGTGAAGAGTCTATGGGTGAAAAGTATATTGGTGAAAAGTATGTGCAAGACGAGTTTCTGGGTGAAGAGTCTCTGGGTTCAAAAAAATGTGGGTGAAAAGTATGTGCAAGAAGAGTTTCTGGGTGAAGAGTCTCTGGGTGAAAAATCTGTGTAAAAAGAGTTTCTGGGTGAAGAGTCTCTGGGTGAAAAGTATATGGGTGAAAAGTATGTGCAAGAAGAGCTTCTGGGTGAAGAGTCTCTGGGTGAAAAGTATGTGCAAGAAGAGTGTTTGGGTGAAGAATCTGTGGAAAAAGTTCAGGGGTGAAAAGTATGTGCAAGAAGAGTTTCTGGGTGAAGAGCCTCTGGGTGAAAAGTATATGGGTGAAAAGTATGTGTAAGAAGAATTTCTGGGTGAAGAGTCTTTGGGTGAAAATTATGTACAAGAAGAGTTTCTGGATGAAGAATCTTTGGATGAAAAGTATATGGGTGAAAAGTATATTGGTGAAAAGTATGTGTAAGAAGGGTTTCTGGGTGAAGAGTCTGTGGATGAAAAGTATATGGGTGAAAAGTATGTGCATGAAGAGTTTTTGGGTGAAGAGTCTCTGGGTGAAAAGTATATTGGTGAGAAGTATGTGCAAGAAAAAATTCTGGGAGAAGAATCTCTGGGTGAAAAGTATATGGGTGAAAAGTATGTGGGAGAAGAGTTTCTGGGTGAAGAATCTTTGGGTGAAAAATCTGTGCAAGAAGAGTCTCTGGGTGAAAAATATATAGGTGAAAAATATGTGCAAGACGAGTTTCTGGGTGAAGAGTTTTTGGGTGAAAAGTATGTGCAAGAACAGTTTTTGGGTGAAGAGTCTCTGGGTGAAAAATATATGGGTGAAATGTCTGGTACAGAAGAGTTTTTGGGTGAAGAGTCTCTGGGTGAAAAGTATATGGGTGAAAAAATATATGCA